GAATTACCAAAATATCTTCGTGGCTACCATAAGTGCAGCCGGGAAGAAGTCCTACAGCTTGGAGCCCTGATCTATAGGGTGAAATTTGAAGATGACAAATCTTCTTTTCCTAATATTCCGAAACTTCTCAAGGACTTGGTGCCCGAACCGCTCATTCGACAGCTGTCCCCGGATGACTGGAAGAGAGTAAGTTTGCTCCAGCAATTGTCTACTTCCGTCTCTCTTTCTGTCTATCTGTCTTCAGGTAGTCCTTGACTTACAACAGTTCATTTAGTGACCGTTTGAAGTTACAACGGCGCTGGAAAAAAAAACTTATGACTGTTCTTCACACTTACGACCGTTTCAGCATCCCCAGGGTCATGTGACCGAAATTCAGACGCTGGGCAACTGACTCATATTTGTGACGGTCGCAAGTGTCCCGGGGTCACGTGATCCCCTTTTGCGACCTTCTGACAACGGGGAATGCCAGACTCACTTAACAGCCGTGTGACTAGCTTGACATCTGCAGTGATTCGCTTAAGAACGATGGCAGGAAAAGTCGTAAAATAGGGCAAAACTCGCTTAACAAATGTCTCACCTTGCAGCATAAATTTTGGCCTCCATTGTAAGTCAAGGACTACCTGTATTGTATCTGTAGTAAGACCATACTTGGAACATATTGCATCCAGTTTTGGTCACCACAATGTATAAAAGATGTTGAGATTCTGGAAAGAGTACAGAGAAGAGCAACAAAGATGATCGGGGGACCTGGAGGCAAAAATATATGAATAATGGTTGCAGGAATTGGATAGGTCTAGTCCAGTGGTGGCGAACCTATGGCACGGGTGCCAGAGGTGGCACGCAGAGCCCTCTCTGTGGGCACGCGCGCCGTCGCCCCAGTCCTAGGCCTTCAGCTGGGGTTTATAAAACTTTTTCGCTTTAGGCCTCAACTTCTCGCAGGAAAAAAAAAAAGATCTTGCAAAGTTGGAATTGATTGATTGAACTTTTTAGTCCCACCCAGTCTGCCGTTACCCCCGCAGCCACGCCCACCCAATGGGCCACACCCACCCAATGGGCCACGCCCACCCGGCACCCGACGATGCATAAGTGGGTTTTGGGTTGCAGTTTGGGCACTCGGTCTCTAAAAGGTTCGCCATCACTGGTCTAGTCTAATGAAAAAAAAATGACATGGGGAGACATGATAGCAGTGTTCCAATAATAATAATAATAATAATAATAATAATAATAATAATAATAATAATAATAACAACAACAACAACAACAGTAGTAGTAGTATCAATAGTAATAGGCACCTTGGGTGCAATCCCAAAACAACTGGAGCACCACTTGAACACCATCATCGGCATTGACAAATTCGCCATTAGTCAATTGCAAAAGGCGGCCTTACTAGGAACCGCTTCCATCCTGCAACCATGTCTGTAATACCATGAAACATCCACATCTGCCTATGCCAGGTCCTTGGTGAGGACTCGATAGGTAGACAAAATGCCTAATCCAGTCTGAACATCTGGCCGACTGTATGATGATCCATCATCATCATCATCATCATCATCATCATCATCATCATCATCATCATCATCATCATAATAATAATAATAATAATAATAATAATAATAATAATAAAGTTGGAAGGGACCTTGGAGGTCATCTAGTCCAACCCCCTGCTCAGGCAGGAAACCCTATACCATTTCGGATAAACGGCTATCCAGTCTCTTCTTAAAAACTTCCAGTGTTGGAGCATTCGCCGCTTCTGGAGGCAGGTGGTTCCACTGGTTAATTGTTCTCACTGTCAGGATGTTTCTCCTTAGTTCCAGGTTGCTTCTCTCCTTGATTAGTTTCCATCCGTTGCTTCTTGTCCTGCCTTCAGGCACCTTGGAGAATAGCTTGACTCCCTCTTCTTTGGGGCAACCCCTGAGATATTGCCACACTGCTATCATGTCCCCCCTCGTCCTTCTCTTCATTAAAGTAGACATACCCAATTCCAGCAACCGTTCCTTACATGAGGAACGGTTTTGAGGGGTTCCAACAAAGACGAGGGGTTCAAACTATTTTCCAAAAGGCGAGACAAGAAGCAACGGATGGAAACTAACCAAGGAGAGAAGCAACCTAGAACTAAGGAGAAATTTCCCAGTGATGAAAGCAACCAATCAATGGAACCTGCCTTCAGAAGTTGTGGGTGCTCCATCATTGGAGGCTTTCAAACAGAGACCGGACAGTCACTTGTCTGAAATGACATAGGGTCTCCTGCTCGCCCGTGGGGTTGGACTAGAAGACCTCTGAGGTCCCTTCCAACTTTATCATTCTATGTTCTATGTCTTCTCCCCCAATGTATATAATTGATCCTTGTCTACAGAAAGGGACAAGAAAGAAATCTAGTGGTATTGGACCTGGTTACCTCCGAGACCGCCTTCTGCCACAGATTGCCTCCCACCGGCCGATACGCTCCCACAGAGAGGGCCTCCTCAGGGTGCCGTCAGCCAGACAGTGTCGGCTGGCGACCCCCAGGGGGAGGGCCTTCTCTGTCGGAGCACCCACCCTCTGGAACGAGCTGCCCCCAGAGATCCGGGTGATCCCGGATCNTGGCCTAGGGGTATTTTAAAGGGGTTTTAAATTAAATTTTTAGTAGAAGCGGCCAAATTTAAATAGTTATTTTTAATCTTTTTAAATTTTGTATTGTATTATATCATTGTTTTAAACTGGCTGTAAGCCGCCCTGAGTCCTCCGGGAGAAGGGCGGGGTATAAATTTAATAAAATCAAAATCAAAATCAAATCAAATCAGTGGCTCCGTGGGTCACAAAAGTCAAGATAGTGGGTCTCGACCGTGAGATCAAAGCCAAAATTGACTTGCTGAACTATACAAACCATTTATTCCATTCTTTCTAGTTTGGGCAAAGTTTTGTCCGTTTTCCTAACATCCCAGCGTGGGTCCTCCTAGCAGCCTAAGTCTGCATCCAAACCAGATTTACCAGACGTATGAGGCCAGTTTGTGCAATTCGGTATTCTTAAGATAGGGGGACGTCCGGTGTGAGAGATTGTGACACTTGTGACTCTGCTGTCTCTTGCAGTCCATCGTGGCCTACTTCAATAAGCACGCCGGCAAAACGAGGGAAGAGGCGAAGTTGGCTTTCCTCAAGATTGTCTTCCGGTGGCCCACGTTTGGCTCGGCTTTCTTCGAAGTGAAGGTGAGGATGGCCCCCATCTTGGAATGCACTCAAGAAGTGGGGAAGGAGTCCTGTCGTTTGGTGGACTACCTTGAAGAGCAGGTGCTGGGGTCAGGAGAATAGAACAGAACAGAATAGAAAATATGGAATGGAATGGAACGGAACAGAACAGAACAGAATAGAATAGAAATACAGAATAGAAATACAGAACAGAATAGAATAGAATTACAGAATAGAATAGAATAGAATAGAATAGAATAGAAATACAGACCAGAACAGAATAGAATAGAATTACAGAATAGAAATACAGAACAGAATAGAAGAATAGAATAGAATAGAATAGAATAGAATAGAAATACAGAACAGAATAGAAGAATAGAATAGAATAGAATAGAATAGAATAGAAATACAGAATAGAAATATAGAACAGAACAGAATAGAATAGACTTACAGAATAGAAATACAGAATAGAAATACAGAACAGAATAGAAGAATAGAATAGAATAGAATAGAATAGAATAGAATAGAAATACAGAACAGAACAGAATAGAAAAAATGAAATGGAGTGGAGTAGAGTAGAGTAGAGTAGAGTAGAGTAGAATAGAATAGAATAGAATAGAATAGAATAGAAGCTGGAAGGGACCTTGGAGGTCTTCTAGTCCAGCCCCCTGCTCAAGCAGGAGAGCCTATACCATCTCAGACAAGTGGCTGTCCAGTCTCTTCTTAAAAACCTCCAGTGATGGAGCAGCAAATACCCCCCTTGTTTCCAGGGACCCCACTTGGAGAGGAGAGCTGTGGGGGTGACACCTCTCGTGGACCCTAAACCAGTCTTTCTCTCAACCTTAGCGACTTTAAAACGGGGATTTGAAACCCCTGAATTTCCCAGCCATAGAAGAGAGCTGTGGTGGCAGAAGCCTGCTCACTAATTTGCAACCTCACCTTCCCAGCCGACTAACACACCACCGCCTTCCTTTCTCCACAGCAAACCACTGACCCAAATTATCCAGAACTGCTCCTGGTCGCCATCAACAAACACGGCGTCAGCCTCATCGACCGTAAAAGCAAGGTGGGTCTTTTCAGCTGATTTGCTCTACAGCCTCTTTTTAAAAATCTCCAGTGATGAAGCGCCCACGATTTCTGGTGGCAAGCTGTTCCACTGGTTGATTGTCCTCACTGTTAGGAAGTTTCTCCTCCATTCTAGGTTGCTTCTCTCCTTGATTAGTTCCCATCCGTTGTTTCTCGTCTTGCCTTCTGGTGCTTTGGAAAATTAATTGACCCCCTCTTCTTTGGGGCAGCCCCTGAGATACTAGAAGGCTGCTATCATGTCTCCCCTATTTCTTCTTTTCTCTAGACTAGCCGAACCCAAATCCTGCAACTGTTCTTCATATGTTTTAGTCTCCAGGCCTTGGATCATCTTAGTTGCTCTTCTCTGCACTTTTTCCAAAGTCTCAACATCTTTTCTGTAATGTGGTGACCAAAACTGGATGCAATATTCCAGGTGTGGCCTTACTAAGGCTTTATAAAGCGGTGCTAATGCCTCACATGATATTGATTCTGTACCTTTGTTTATACAACCAAGGATTGTGATTGATTGATTGATTGATTGATTATGCCTTAGCAGGGCGTTACTCAGTGTATCTGTGTGAGCAAGGAGAAGGAATCTTTAAATATAGGTAGTCCTCGACTTAACAATTCATTTAGTGACCGTTCAAAGTTACCACAGCACTGAAAAAAGGGACTTATGACTGTTTTTCACAGTTATGACCTTTGCAGCATCCCCATAATCAGGTGATCAAATCCAGAGGCTCGGCAACTGGCTCGTACTTATGACAGTTGCAGTGTCCCTGGGTCACGTGATCCCCTTTTGCGACCGTCAGACAAGTGAAGTACAAGGGGAAGCCAGCTTCACTTAACAACTGTGCTAGTGACTTAACATCTGCAGTGATTAACTTAACAGTGACAAAGGAGGTCATAAAATGGGGCGCAACTGCCTTGCTTAGCAAAGGTAATCGCAATAGCAATAGAACGTAGACTTATATACCGCTTCACACTGCTTTCCAACACTGGAAGGATTGCCTGGAAGACCTTCAAATCCTGTACAGGTAATCCTCATTTTACGACCACAATTGCTGTTGCTAAGTGAAAAAATTTGCTAACTGAGCTTTGCCCCATTTTTACGACTTTTCTCGCTGCATCTGTTAAGCGAATCGCTGCAGTCGTTAAATTAGTCACGCGGCCATTAAGCGAATCCACCTCTCCCCTCTCCATGGACTTTGCTTGTCAGATGGTCGCCAAAGGGGATCACGCGACCCCTGGGACGCTGCGACCGTCATAAATGCGAGTCAGTTTGCAAGAATACGAATGTAAGTCACGTGGCCGTGCCATGGTCGTAAGTGTGAAAAAGGGTCCTCGGTCACTTTTTCAGTGCCGTTGTGACTTTGAAGAACGGTGGCTAACTGAATGGTTGTAAGTCAAGGACGACCTGTAGGTGGGGACCGTAGGCCGGGAGAACTGAAGACGACAGACAGGGGACGGGCTCGCTCAAAGGCGCGTAACGTCTTCTCCGTGTCTCCAGGACATCCTCATCACCCATCCCTTCACCAAGATCTCCAACTGGAGCAGCGGGAACACCTATTTCCATATCACCATCGGCAATTTGGTGCGAGGGAGCAAGTTGCTGTGCGAGACGTCGCTGGTAAGGAGAAAAGGTGGCCGGGCAGAGGAGGATGGCAGACGGGAAGCGGGGAACGAAATGGCCGGGCGTCTCCCTGGAGATGCTCGGTCTTCCCGGGTTCATGGTTGGTGTCCCAAGGATGCTCTTCCAAAGGCAACTGGATTTTGTTGTTCCTGTTGTTGTTTTCCCTTGAAAACGTTTCTCTTCTCGGCCAAGAAGTGTCTGTCAGCAATGGGTCTCCTGCTTGGGCAGAGGGTTGGACTAGATGACCAATAAGGCCCGTTCCAACTCTGTTATTCTATTCTATTCTATTCTATTCTATTCTATTCTATTCTATTCCATATTTTCTATTCTTTTCTATTCCATATTTTCTTTTCTATTCTATTTCTATTCTTTTCTATTCTATTCTAATTTCTATTCTATTCTGTATTTTTATTATAATCTATATTCCTATCCTATCCTTTCCTGTTCTGTTCTATCCTCTATTCTATTCTGTTCTGTTCTATTCTATTCCATATTTTCTTTTCTATTCTAGTCTATTCTAGTCTAGTCTCTAGTCTATTCCATATTTTCTATTCTATACTCCTATTCTATTCTACTCTACTCCTGTTCTATTCTGTTCTATTCTGTTCTATTCTGTTCTGTTCTACTCTACTCTACTCTACTCCTATTCTATTCTATTCTATTCTATTCTATTCTATTCTATTCTATTCTATTCTATTCTATTCTATTCCATTCCATTCCATTCTATTCTATTCTATTCTACTCTACTCCTATTCTATTCTATTCCTATTCTATTCTATTCTATTCCATATTTTCTTTTCTATTCTATTCTAGTCTATTCTAGTCTAGTCTCTAGTCTATTCCATATTTTCTATTCTATACTTCTATTCTATTCTACTCTACTCTACTCCTGTTCTGTTCTGTTCTACTCTGCTCTGCTCTACTCTACTCTACTTTACTCCTATTCTATTCTATTCTATTCTATTCTATTCTATTCTATTCTATTCTATTCTATTCTACTCTACTCTACTCCTATTCTATTCTATTCTATTCTATTCTATTCTATTCTATTCTATTCCATATTTTCTATCCCATCCCATCCCATCCCATCCCATCCCATTCCATTCCATTCCATTCCATTCCATTCCATTCCATTCTATTCTATTCTATTCTATTCTATTCTATTCTATTCTATTCTTCTTCCGTTCTGAAAGGCACTCTTGGGACCAAAAAAAAAAGGCTGGCTCTCATACCAACAAAAATGCAACTTACAACCATTTGTTTAGCGACCGTTTGAAATGACAACAGCATGGGAAAAAGCGACTTAGAACCCTTTTTTCACCCTTACAACCGTCGCAGCCTCCCCACGGTCCCTTGATCAAAATTCAGACGCTTGGGCAACACTCCTATTTATGATGCTCGCAGTCTCCTGGGAGGGTGTGTGTCACGCGATCCCCTTCCGACAAGCGAAGCCGGCGGGGGGGGAACCCAGATTCACTTGACTGCGTGACTAACTCACTTAACGATGGGGGTGGGCGGGAGCAAGAAAGCTGGCAAAACGGATCAGAATTCACCTCAGAGGCGTCTCCCCTGGCCACAGAAATTTGGGCAACCCGTTTGCCTACCTGGACGCTGGGGGCGAACCCCGGCGTCCATTTTCCCCTCCTTCTCCCTTCTCTGTCCTGCCAGGGCTACAAGATGGACGACCTGCTGACCTCCTACATCAGCCAGATGCTGACAGCCATGAGCAAGCAGAGGGGCGCCAAAGGGAGCAAGTGAACGGAGACCACCCACCGGCCGTCCCTCTGCCAGCTGAGGGCGGTGGGCCACCCTTGCAGCTGGGGGAGAGCCTTTGCCACCCACGTGTGGAAAATGAGCCGGTCGCCTTCCGAAAACCTGTCGGATTTTGAGGACTCCGAGCGCACCTCCACTTCGAGCGAGGATGACTACTTGTGAGGCAGACAGAAAAAAAAAAAACCAAAACACCTCCCTTTCTTTCCCACCAGCACTGATTATTTTTCTTCTCGCTTCTGGGACGTGGTACCAAGCTGAGGAGAAAAAATAAATAAATCTGCTTTTTATGGCGTACGGAGAAGGGTCCTCGGACTTCCAGACGCGGTGGATGCTCCAACACTGGAAGTTTTTAAGAAGAGACTGGATGGCCGTTTGTCCGAAATGGTATAGGGTTTCCTGCCTGAGCAGGGGGTTGGACTAGATGACCCCCCAAGGTCCCTTCGAACTTGATTATTATTATTATTATTATTATTATTGAGGAGAGAAGCAACCTAGAACTAAGAAGAAATTTCCTGAGAGTGAGAAGAATTAATCAGTGGAACAACAGAAATTGTGAATGCTCCATCAACTGGAAGCGTTTCAGAAGAGACTGGACAGCCATCTGTCTGGAATGGTGTAGGGTTTCCTGCCTGAGCAGGGGGTTGGACTAGATGACCCTCAAGGTCCCTTCCAACTTTATTATTGTTATTATTATTAGGGAGAGAAGCAACCTAGAACTGAGAAGAAATTTCCTGATAGTTAGAAGAATTAATCAGTGGAACAACAGAAATTGTGAATGCTCCCATCACTGGAAGCGTTTAAGAAGAGACTGGACAACGATTTGTCTGAAATGGTGTAGGGTTTCCTGTCTGAGCAGGGGGTTGGACTAGATGACCTCCGAGGTCCCTTCCGACTCTCTTGTTCTGTTATTCTGAACGACTTGCCTCCGGAAGTTGTGAATGCTCCATCCCTGGGGGTGGGGGGGGGGTTAAGAAGAGACTGGACAGCCATTTGTCTGAAATGGTGTGGGGTTTCCTACCTGAGCAGGGGGGTTGGACTAGATGACCTCCCAGGTCCTTTCCAACTCTGTTATTCTAATTTCTATCTTTTTGCAAACGGGGCTTCAAGAAAGCAGTTTATGAAGCCAAGAAATCGGATAATTCCGATAAGAATCTACCTTGGGGTTTGTTTACCGATTTGTTTTTCTTGAGGGACGAAATCAAGTAACCGTTTAAAGAGTGGGTTTTATTGAAAAAAGAAAAAGAAAGCATCGGAAAGACCGAAAAAAGGATGTTTTTCAAGAAAAGAAAAAGAGAAGGAAGGAAAATATTGATGGACAAACGGAGAGCGGAGACTTTCAATGTGCAATAAGTGAACTGATCGAAGAGGATTTGGTTGTTTTATAGGGTCTCCTGCCTGAGCAGGGGGTTGGACTAGAAGACCTCCAAGGTCCCTTCCGACTCTGTTATTCTGTTTCTCTCTGACTTTATTTATCAGGGCAAGGTGACTTTTCAAAATTGACCTAAACTGAGACCACTTTGGGTCAGATTGCTGATAGATCTGCCTACTTTTTTTGTTGTTTTTTGAAGAAATTAAGTTAAAAAATATATACCCTGTTTCTAGGGGGTGGAGAATGAAGGAAATTTTTGACATTGCATTTGGAAACGTGAATTGAAGAATGACGCCGGATAACAAGTTATATATATAAAAAAAAGTTGGTTTGTTCCAGGTACAGTCTAGGATTGAGCTGACCCATTATTCTAGACTGAACGTTAAAGTTAGAATACTCCTTCTTGAAGCCGGTGTTCCTCTCTCGTGTTCCAATGAAATATTACTGGAGGAGGAATCCTGCTGAATTCTTTTAATTTTGAACGTGCAATAAATAACAAAGAAATTTGTCTGATTTGAATTTCCTGATATGTACCTGGTGAGTTTTAGGAGGATTGGGAGATGAGACATTTATCTATCTATCTATCTATCTATCTATCTATCTATCTATCTATCTATCTATCTATCTATCTATCTATCTATCTATCTATCTATCTATCTATCTATCTATCTATCTATCTATCTATCGTCTGTCTATCTATCATCTATCTATCTATCTATCTATCTATCGTCTATCTATCTATCATCCATCTATCTATCTATCTATCTATCTATCTATCTATCTATCTATCTATCTATCTATCTATCTATCTATCTATCTATCTATCTATCTATCTATCTATCTATCTATCTATCTATCTATCCTCTGTCATCATCTATCATCTATCTGTATTTATCTTTATTATTTTTACAAATAACCCAAACATATCTATGTATCTGTATATATCTGTATCTGTATCTATCTATCTATCTATCTATCTATCTATCTATCTATCTATCTATCTATCTATCTATCTATCTATCTATCTATCTATCTATCTATCTATCTATCTATCTATCTATCTAATCGGTGAAAAAAATCAGTTAAACCACAGTACAGATATTCCTCAAGTTACAACTATTTGTTTAGCAACTGCTTGAAGTTACAGTGGCCCTGTAAAAAGCGATTTATGATCGGTCCTCGCACTTACGACCGTTGCCACATCTCTACGATGAAATTTGGGGGGCTTGGCAACCAGTATGCATTTACAATCGTTGCAACATCCCGGAATCAGGGGATCAATATTTCTGATTTTTCCCATCAGGTTTCTGACAAGCAAAGTCACGGGGGGGGGACATATTCGCTTAAGGACTGTGTAATTCACTTAACAACGGCGCTGATGGCCCTTAACATTTGTGGCAAAAAAAACCCCTAAAATCGGGCACGGCTCATGAGTTCACCGCCTTGCTTAGTAATGAAAATTCTGATCCTGACTGTGGTCATAAGCCGAGGACTACCTATCTAGGCGTGGTGATATAGGACAAGATCACAATATCACAGAGAGGAATGTATAAATTTCTCATTTTTGATCTATAGCCCACTGGAGGGAAGCAGCTGGACAGCCATTTGTCCGAAATGGTGTAGGGTTTCCTGCCTGAGCAGGGGGTTGGACTTGATGACCTCCAAGGTCCCTTCCAACTTTATTATTATTATTATTATAAAGCGAGTGTCCTCTTCAAATTTAAAAGCTGAATTGATTTTACAGGTAGTCCTTGACTTACGACTACAGTCATGCCCCAAAATTTCATTGCTAAGCAAGACAGATGTTGAGTGAGTTTTGCCCCATTTTACAACTGCTGTTGTTAAGTTAGCAACACCGTCGTTAAGCAAATCTGGCTTCCCCCATTGTTTTTGCTTGTCGGAAGGTCGCAAAAGGGGATCACATGACTCACCCCCCCGGGGACACTGCGATCGTCATAAACACGAGTCAGTTGTCAAGGGTTTTGAATCTTGATCGCGTGACCCTGGGGATGCCGCAGTGTGAGAAACGGTCAAAAGTCACTTTTTTCAGCGCCGTTGTAACTTCAAACCGTCACTAAACGAGCGGCTGTAAATCGAGGACTGCCTGTATTTCCACCACCTTCCCGGTGCAACGAAGACAAAATACATCCCGAGGAAAGTATTTGTGTTGTAAAAAAAAAAAAAAGATCCATGAAGTTTCCTTCTTTATTAGCAAAATGAAAAAAAGAAATTAAAAATAGAGGGTCCTGTTTCATTATGCGGCGTGTTAGTTTCACCTTAATTTCTCCGGAAGGACAGGCAGAATAATTGTTCTGCGACGGATTCTCCCATTTTAATGGTGTGGTGATTCTCTCGGACATCAGGTATTCCCAACCAGCATCTTCGGCAACTCTGAAAATATACAAAGATGCTAGTCCTTAGTGGGGGCGTTAATCCAGGCCGAGCTACTGAGAGGAAAAAGACAGCAGCTCCGTTCTATCTTAGATTAATTACACCTGTCTCAATCTTTGCAACTTTAAGATGGATGGACTACAACTCCCAGAATTCCCCAGCCAGCTATGCTGGCTGGGGAATTCTGGGAGTTGAAGTCCACCCATCTTAAAGTTATTGAGACTTAGAAATACTCATTAGAATACTTTCATCTCTCAATTGTTACCATTAAAAGACCAGGTCCAAAAAACCCCAGAACCCCAGTTATATATTGGTAGTCCTCAAACCTACGACGACTCATTTAGTGACCGTTCAAAGTTACAACGGCACTGAAAAAAAAGGGACTTGTGACCGGTTTTTCACACTTACGACCATTGCGGCATCCCCATGATCGAAAAATGGATGTTTGGCAACTGACTCCTATTTATGACGGTTGCAGTGGCTCGGGGTCACGTGGTCCCCTTCCGATAAGCAAAGTCAATGGGGAAGCCAAATTTACTGAACAGCCGTGCGAGTAACTGAACAACTTAACAGATGTGGCAAGAAAGGTCGTACAGCGGGGCAAAGCCCACTTAACAACCGCCTTTCTTAGCTCAACCTGTGGTCATCAGTCAAGGATGATTACATCTACTGATAAGGAGAGGGGCCTTGAGCTCAATCGCGAAACATCTGGAGCATCCCTTGAACGGCATCGGCATTGACAGGATCCCCATCCGTCAATTGCGAAAAGGCAGCTTGACTTGGAAGGGCTGAAATCCTGCAACAAGACCAGGGGTCAGCAACCTTAAACACTCAGAGCCACTTGGACCCGTTTTCCACAGAAAAGAAAATACTGGGAGCCACAAAACTTGCACGCCCATGCGCCGGAGGAGGGGGCTTGATTGAAGAGTTTAATTAAAAAGAAATAGATGCTGCTGTGCATGAGTTTTCTCTCTCTCTCTTACCTCTCCCTCTTTTTTTCTCTCTCCCTTTCTCTCTCCCTCCCTCTTCCTCCTCCCCTCTCGCTCCTTCTCTCCGATCTTCTGCTCATCTGGCAAGCTGGCTTCACGCTGTTCTCCGACAAGCTGACACACATTCTTATTGGGCTGGCTCTCTCCTGCTCTTGGTCTGCCAGTCCTCTTCCCCCACTCAATTTGTGTGTGTGTGTGTGTGTGTGTGTGTGTGTGAGAGAGAGAGAGAGAGAGAG